GACATCAAAAAAAAAAAATCATCTTTTGATTTTTTTATTTTTTTTTATTGTGTTCATGTTTTTAATTTTATTTAAATATAGTCAAAGCTCAAAAAATAAAAATAAAAATATAAGGTTGAAGACCCGAAAAAGATCTACAACACCTTCTGCCTCTCAGCCCTGGACAAGCTAGCGTCTTCGTTGCTCGAGCTATCCTGTGTAGCTCGACCGCTGCAAGAGCCGCGTTCCCTGTGGTGTGCGCTCCGGGGTATGGTGGTTAAGCTCCGCGCGGGTATGCACGCGGCACCGCCACATGGCTATGACTAACCCTAAAGAGTGCCGCTCGCATTACGCGAGCAGAACGCTACGGCGCTGGCTTCCCGCCTCGTCCCCCCCCCAATCCAATTTAGTGACTAAGTGCCTGGTTGCCTTTACTCGTCAAACTTGGTATGAGGAAACTTGTCTGAAGTTTCCTTTTTTCAATCCGCCACAAAAAGCGGTTCCCAACTCTCTACTACTATTTTATGGAGGGCTACGTGACACCCTAGGCCGCGAATACTGCGGCCTCAGTGGCGGCCGAGGAGGCCGACCATGGGCTCAGGACCGAGACAGAGTTTCCGCGCGGCCACGCCAGGCCCAGGCGGAAGCGCACATGGGAAAACGGCGCAAGCGCACGGTCGTCGCACGTCGGCCTCTATGGCCCTGTTCATAAAAAAGTTAAAAATAAAACAAATTGGGGCGGTGTCTTTTGGTATGTGACAAAAAAAATAAAAATAGAAAAAAACAAATAATGATTGATTGATTGATTGGTGGGGGAGGGGTCCTCCCTCCCCTCCCCCTGCCACGCACGCGCACACACACACACACACACACACTCACATAGCATTAAAAATCAAAAGCTATAATAAAAATAATAATAATAATAATAATAATTATACAATTACAGTCAGGGTCACCAGCCCGTACGTACGGAGGTCCCCTGGCAGACCTCTGTACGTACGGGCGTTCGGGGTCTCGTACGGGGTCCGAACCCGACGGCGTTCGGCCCCCGCCAAAAATTATTTCGGGGCCTAAAACTAATTATTTTTTTCTGAATGATTTTTTGTGATTTCTCTATGACGTGAGGTACATGTTTGTCAATTTTCAAGTCATTTGGCTCAGCCAAATAAAAATTAAGAATCGCCGAAGATGGCGGTGTCAAAACGTGATCGCCCACGTTTGTTTTTCAGTTTTTACTTTTTGTTTTCACTTTCGTTCGAAGTCTTAACAATTTTATTATTTTTTTAAACTCTTTTAGTGGGTTTTGTATTATGTAAAGTACAAATCTGTAAATTTTCAGGGCATTTATCTATGCCCAAAAAAAATGAAAAATCGCCAAAGATGGCGGTGTCGAAAACATGCTCGCGCACTCACTAAATTTAATTCTCTTTTTATTTTTATTTATTTTTATTATTCGTATTTGTTTTCCGTATTATTTTAGTATTTCAAATTTGGTAAGGAATTTCGATGTAATGCTCAGGCAAATCTTGTTTAATTTATTTTTCTCCATAACATATCTTTTTTTCAGATTTTTTGATGACTGTTTTTTTTTTTTTTTTTTTTTTTT